CCTGAAGGCAGGGGACTGGCAGTGTAAACCCCATTGTTCATAAATTTTATTGTATGAATATTAACAGAATACGTTGCTTTTTAAGCAAATGTCGTAGAAGCATTTACTGTCATACTGCGTTACGTAGCGAGGAGTTTCAGTAAGAAGACTGGTTGCTATTCCCAGAATTAGGAGATATAGTCAGAAGGTCTTACCTGACATTCAGTGAAATCTGGAAGCTGGTGTGGTCTTTGGTTCCGTCACAAGTTTGGGGCACAGTCTGCACCACTAAAGCAAATGGGAAATCTTCCTTTTCTGGAAGAATGTTGTATTTCAAGGATGTCTATGGAACATTAAAGACAAAAATCTGTTTTTCTCCCTTCCTCAGAATTCCTTTCAACTTTCTCACTCTTTCTCTGATTTGCCCCGTTGCTGGCTGTGTCAGGACTTTTGAGTGAGAGTAGTTACAGTACACTGTCCTCATCTGTCCGAGAGTCTCACCTGGATGTAGACACATCCTTCCCCTGTCACTCTTGCACTGTACTCCCCAGGCACCTCTGGCAATGAGACCTGCTGTAGTAACAGGCGGTTGTGGTCGTCCACTTGGAATTTTGTGGAAAATGTTCCTGAAGACTGGATGGTCACCTGTGCAGCCTTCCCAGTTCTGGTAAAAGTGGCTGCTCCATATCTGGACAATGCGTAGAGAGCCACTACGGTGTCCTGAAAGAGATGAGCGAGAGAACCTGCTTAGGTATAATAACCCTCTGAGGACTGAGACATTTTCCAAAGACCCATGTAAGCTGCAACAAAGGGGCCTTAATTTCCTATTTCCCTCTCTACTTAAATATTGTAGCTCTAATTTCAAGATTGATTATAATCTTTAGATAGATGACAGAACCATAATACTCTTATTCACATTGGACTGTATGCCCTAGAGGTTTATTTTATTTATCAGAATATGGAATGTGAAAATGTATGTTAATGGTCATCATTTATTAGCATCAGCTCTCTGCCTCAGATGTCTTTCTTGACAACTGTGGTCATTTCTGCCACCACCTACACAAACTTCAGTCTACTCTGCTTGGCTGCTGAGGCGGGAGTCCTGAGAGAACCCAGTGTCCTCTGTAGCCATGATCAGGGTCATGCTTCAGTTTCTCCAAAGAAAATAAAAGGCAAATATTACAATTATTTTCTTGATCTAATGGCATTTTTATGTGGTGCTCCCTTCTTATTGAAATATTATCTGTGGATTCTCCCTATATGCCGGGAGAACCCAGTGTCCTCTGTAGCCATGATCAGGGTCATGCTTCAGTTTCTCCAAAGAAAATAAAAGGCAAATATTACAATTATTTTCTGGATCTAATAGCATTTTTATGTGGTGCTCCCTTCTTATTGAAATATTATCTGTGGATTCTCCCTATATGCCGTATTCTCCATACTCATCAACAATGAACCTGGGTGACATCCAGAATGAATGGTGACTATCTCAATAAAATCATTTAGTTCTTTTCATTCATATGGAAGGATCAGTGATTAAATATAATGAAGAAAGAGTGGCGTGCATTTAGTCACTTTCTATTCTCTTTTAAGGTTGTATATGTGGACACCTAAATTCTCTGAAGATAAAGTTTCCTGCTGTGCACATATTGATGAATTGTTTAGATACACGATTATCTGGTTAGGCTTAGGAGGTTGGGTGAATAATGACAGCTCTTTACACTCCTGATGAACAAATGTTGGTGTATTAAGAGGTGGATAAGGGAAACATGAAGTGTGTCAGCTTTAAAAGATGCCAGCTAAGGGGGACCCAAGAATGCAAAGATTTGTAAGGAGAGACAATTTAGTTTTGTGTATACTTCCTGGAAACAACTTAAAAGTCTCTTAGAACTTCCAGAAGAATGGTAGGAGATTTTTTCTTCATTCTGCGGGTGCCCCACTGCTCCTTTAGGGAGCTAGAGTTGCTGCTGGAAGCAGGAGACTGCATAACAGCACAGGCATGGGGTGCCAGAACTCTACACAGTTTCTTTTCAGCCCTCGTTGACGTTGATTTTCTCATTATCCCTGAATACTAATAACATTTTCCTCATTTCAGATTACTGTCATCTTCATTTTTTCTTTTTGTATGTGTTTGTATTTTGTTCAAACCTTTTGCCAGAAGTTAAATGTTCCGGCGAATCACTGACCTGGGTGGAGGAGAAGCCGCCATGGGAATTCTGCTGCTTTGTGATCCATTTCACAGCGTGCGTTGCGGAGTTCAGGTCCTCTGAGCTTGGGGCTGGCTGGGCCGTGAGGCGAGCCAGGAGCACATAGGACGTCATCTCCACCTCAGCAGAAGGAGCCTGGGGCTGATAAACATGCCCTTCTGGTGCCCTGGGTTTCTGAGGTCGTGTCCAGTGGATAGAATTATCTGGGTGTGAGAAAAAAATATTTATAATTGACTATATATTTATATTTAATTTTAGTGGAAAGTACCCAAGCCAGAGCTGAAGTGAAGGTTGTATTCCAGTTACAATCTTTCTAACGTTGTGTAGATGCTTTTCCTTTTATGTTATCTGAACTTGGTGTGTTTCAGATCAGCTAAGGCAAAGAAAGTTGCTGAAATCTGATGCCTATACGTATCTATGTTTTTAAATAGTTGCTACAGGGTTGGTGGGAGGAAGAGATGGCAGGAGGAGGTTCTCTCACTGCTTATGGCTATTTCCTATTTCTGATGTTATCTAAATCTCATTTGGAGTTTGTTAAATTTCTTATAAATCCCATTCTTAGTGGTTTCTTGTGAGGATCACAGATCACATGAAATTCTAGAGTTTGCACTCATTTGATTGGAAAAAATAATACTAACAGCTGATGTGCTTAGCCTGCTGATCAATCATAATGCTTCTTGAAGTATAACTAAGGGAAACTCATGCACATGCACAGGGAGACAGGTACGAGGATCCTCACTGCAGCATTGCTTGTAATAGAAGGAAATAATAATGAGAAAAGATCCATGAGGAGAAATCTGATATATAAATTATGACCTATTTATATACTGTAATATATTATGCAGCAGTGAAAATTAATGACCTAAGAGCTACAGACACTGGTATAGGGACTCTCAATATAATATTGAAATTAAAAAAATAAAAGGAAAACAAACAGAAAATAAACTGCAGAAATATCCTAAAAATATAATACTGCTTATTTAAAGATGAAAAACATGTACGAATTCTGACTTGAAATTAAAAAAATAAAAGGAAAACAAACAGAAAATAAACTGTAGAAATATCCTAAAAATATAATACTGCTTATTTAAAGATGAAAAACATGTACGAATTCTGACTATTATTTGAGGATACCTATACAGCAAAAATATAAAGAAATCGACGGAAATGGTAGTGACAAGTTCAGGACAATGGTCACTTCTGCAAATGGAAGTGGTACACGGGATTTTTCATGCATTGGTGATATTTTATATCTTAAGTTGGGAAGGAGTTATATATGGGTGTTTGCTAGTGACTTTTTATGCCTTTTTATATATATGTAATATTTACCAGTACATTAAAAAATAATTAATGGCACAGTCAAAGGAGAAAGGTCGAATGCATTTTATTGGACATCTTATCATTTGCATTTTATTTTCTATTTCTTCAACCCCTTTTATAGACCGTGGTATATGTAGAAGTATTGTGTAAATATGAATAGATTGGTCAACATTAATAATCTTGTGAAATAAGCTTTCCTTATATTGAAGATGATATGATTCACCAGGTAAGGCTTGGATACATATTAAGAACTGATATCTTAGTAATAATTAGTACTTTTCTAGCATTTACTATGTGCCATATGCTCTACCAAGTGTTTCATGTGCATTAACTCATTTGACACAGCAACCCTATGAAGTACACACTATTATTATCTCCATTTTGCTGATGAAGGAACTGAAACATAGACAAGTTAATGCCTTGCCCGAAATCACATAGGGAGTATGTTTAGGAGCTAGTCTACAGGGGCTAAGCTTCTCACTACTGCATTATACTGCCTCTTATCTTTTGATGTCTGGTTTGATTAAGAAATCCTGGATTTTATAAAAATTTGATATGGACAAAATATATATGATATACATAAAAGAAGACAGGGGACAGGGTTCACAGGAGGTAGGAGTAGGGCGTTATTGTAATGTAGTTCTTGATATAGAGAATATGGGACAGGAGAAAGAGCTCAGGTGTGCTCTCACCTTCTTTCACAGCTTCCTCCTCAAGTGATTTCAGTATCTCTTTCCTCTTGTCCTGGTCACCTGCCAGGGCAAAAGCATAGGCCAGCAGTGCCTTGGTGTAGACATGGCTGCCATGGGCCACTTTCTGTGTTGTCTTCCAGGCTGACTCCAGGCAGAACAGGGCATTGCGGACAACAGGGTGCTGTGAAAAGAGAACAGGAAGGGAACTGAGCTATCTGCACAGAGGTGCTAGCATTCTGGGGAAACACACAGATCATAGCACAGGAGATAAAGAAGTTTTTCAAATGATTTTACACATCTGTTTCTCATTCTTATGGATAGAGAGAATAATATTTTTTATCTGTTACTCTCATATTCAAAAAACATATCTTTAGAATTCTTTTTTTTTGAAGGAGTAGGGGAGAAATAGCCACTGGGAAAGTATAAACCTTTCTTAATGGATTGACCAAATTCTCTATTGATCTGGGAAGCATTGGCATTGCATAGAGGGAAAATTGACACTTGGCATTTAGTAATGTAGTATTTCAGAGAGCAGGTCAGCGGTTTTGTTGCATACAGAGTTGTCCTTCAGCAGAGACATACGGTGGTACCTACAGTGACTGGGAGAGGAATCTCCAGAAGGGCAATGGTGATATAGGCGGAAAGAGTCACTTCATCTTCTACTCCTCCCTGTGAAGATGAGAAAGACAGGAGATTTGAGTAATTCAACTTCTAAGAATTCTCTTAATCAGTGCTTTCCACTCTGCTGTGTCATGAAGTTTATCCTCACCCATATCCGTCCCCATGGAGCAACGTATCACCACTAACCTAAGTTTCATCCTTTCTTCCTTGGTGCTATCCAGGTTTTACTTTCCTCTGATACATTCCCTTAGGCATTTCTATATTATCACTTCCTTTCTCATCCTTGTGGATATCATAATGGACAAATCAAAACCAACTCCAGAATGGTTCACCTTCATGGCGTTGTTGAGCAGTGACCCAGAGCTCTTGAAACAGCCGTTGTCCTTCTGCTTTTGCGAGAGCCAGGTGAGGGCTTGGGTAATGTGTGCTTCATCGATGTAGATATATGCTCGAGCCTGGGCAAAAGTCTTCAGCACAAAGGCTGTGAGCCTGACGGGGGAGGAAGCGATGATGATATCTATGTTATTGCAATGGTTTTGTAGCCACTTCACAGCAAGGGGCTTTATATGACACTTCTTACATTGATGTGCGTCATCTAACAGGAGTTCTTGTGTCCTTAGGTTGCCTATCGCCTTTAGTCTCCTTGATTAACCTTCTAGATCTAGTATTTCCTTGAAGACTCACTTTCCCTTTGTCACAGGGAGTATAAGTACTTCTAACATTGATTTTTCTTAGTTAATTGGTCAAGGGTTAAATCTCTGTTTTCTTTAGAGATTTCCTTCTGTAAATGATGGAATCTTCTCATGTGCACCTACTAAGAGTAGATGCAATAACTCCTGCTAATGTTGTGTTGCCTTGGGGATCTTAAAAAATAAAAATGTTTCATATCACTGTCTCCCTCTAAATTTTTTCCTCCTGTTAATATATTTATTCTAAGTCAAGATGAATATGATCTAAAAAATATAACATAAGCTGAAGTTAACATAGTTTATCTGGAAGGTATATGATATGTTCACTGGTCATAAAATTTAAAAACTCATGGTTATGAGAGCTATTTAAGAAAATACCTTGGCATATTATTAAGAGGATTAATTTTGGGAGCAAGTCTACCACAAATGTATTTCAATTTCAGCTTTTCTGCTTGTTATCTTGCTAATCTTGATGTATTTATCAGTATAACCAACTACATGTCTAATAACATATCTAATAGGGTTGCTGTAAATATAATTGTGGTAATACACATACAAGACATGGCACAAAAATAGGAGCTCAAAAAATTGTCCTTCCCTTACCAGGTATTGCCCTTGTTCCTGCTATATTTCTCCCCAAAGGTGCTGTAGGAGCCATCAGAGTGCTTGTAATTCAACTGTCTCTGGTAACCTGGAATGGAAGATTAATGAAACATGACAGATTAATGTGCATACTGAAGCCAGAGAAATGTCTGAAATGCCTTGGCCTCTCTTGTGACCATTCCCAAATTTTACTGGCATAAGGTTCTGACACAAGGTTCTGAGCCTTAAACATCTTGTTGGAGGTTGGAGAGTGGAGAGTTTCCATGGAATTAACAGTTATATTATTCTTACCATAGTAGCTATTATAGTGAGATAAGCTAATGTGTCATAGTATTGATAAATAACTCAAGCCTATTTGGAAATATAGTTGAAACAGCACTGTCAAGTTTCCACTCACTCATTCAATCACTCACCAGTGTTGAGATATCCAATGGCCTTAGACTTGATCTCTGGAGTCAGCTGCTGTGTTTCATTTAGATAATCCAGAACATAGATGTTAGGAGCAAAGAGGACCATATTCTGTTCTCCACAGCCAAAGGGCATCTGGAGGAGATTCTGTGTATCTTGCATGGCAGAGCCTAATATGTCTCCTAGGGAATGAAAGAGATGGGAAGCCATAAAGCTTAGAAATTATAATCTATCAGAATCATTAAGAAGAAATGAATAATTAGCTGAGCTAAGAAGAAATGAAGATTTATAGGAAGGGTGAGTCTCCCAGGGACAGAGGTATGATTGGAAGCAATACACAAGCCCAAGGAAGGAGGGAGAAAGAAGCTAAAATTATAGCTGTTATTTTGAGTAAATGTTTATAAAAAAGAAATATAGTAGGAGCTATTAATGTGCAAATACACTAGGGTCTGGAGACTCACCCAAAACTGAGACAGAGGCTCGGGCAGATTCTTCTACCACATTTGGTGGCAGCTTCAGGAATATTTGTTCAGATACTTCAGCACCTAGAGAAACAAATCAGCCATATAAAAATTATTTATGCAATATATCTTTCTGGAGTGCTCTATGATCCAGAAGCCAGAACTATGTCTTACACCTAAATTCCTTTTGAAAAGCTATCACTCTCTTAATAGAACAGTATTTTCATATCTCAAACATGGGCTACTGGAATTCTGAAATTTCCAGATTTTTTTCCCCAACCATCTTTTTCCCTATGTGTAGAGGTGAATTACAAAAAAAGATGATGAAGTGATAAGAGCTTGACGATGAGGTGGTTCAGGTGCAATTATCCCATGGCTAACACAAGATGGTTATTACAAGATGATCTATTTAGTGCCTACCCTCAACTTCCTTACTCAACAGCTGCATGGGAAAAAAACCAGCAAAGCCCTGTATGTATACATAAGCAAAAGAAAAATTCCTCAAAAGGTCCTGAATTCTAAAACAATGTTATATCCTTTCTTCAGTCAAATTTCATCAGATATGAAGATAGCGTTTTTGTGAAAGATTCATAAAATGGGGGTGGAGAGGTGAAGATGGGCAGTATTCGACACATTGAAAATAAAATAATTACTAGTGATGAACATACATATACTTCCGTTTTAATCTTGGTGAATTATGGTAAAGATGGAAATGAGAGAAGTGTAGTATTTATTTTTATACTGCATCCTTTCCTAGTAAAATTAATATTAAAACTTTTGTGAGAAGGCAGATGCCATAAACAAAGTTATAAGACAAATGATCGAGTGAAATATTTTGACTAATTAAAATAATTGTTACTGATGAACATATACTTACTGTCATTTTAATTTTTGTGAACTATATAAAGATGATGTATGTGTATTATTTATCTTTCTTCCTTCATAAAATTAATATTAAAATTTTTGTAAGAGAACAAATGTGACCTGAGTGAGCTCTGGAGGGGCTTGTAGGCCCCACTGAACCACTGTGTGGGCTGCCCAAGTGAGTGCATGCAGGACCTGTGCACTAACTAGCCAAGGCAGCTCACTGCACACTCAACTGCATTGAAGAAAGAAGAGTCACCAGCAGAACCTACAAATAGAGAAGGAAGTCTTTCCCCTCATAACCCACTCCAGAGTGATAGAAAAATTAAGTGTTCTACCAGCTGACCAAACATCAGCATAGAAATACTAGAACTACAAAAAACAAGAAGATATGACACCACCAAAGGAATATGGTAATTCTCAAGTACCAAACCCCATAGAGCAAGAAACCCTTGAGATGTCTGAAAAGGAATTCCAAGCACTGATTTTAAGAAAACTCCAAGAAAGAAGAATCAACTAGAGAACACAATGAAACAAGAAAAAATATTAAGGATATGAAGGAGGAAATTTACAAAGAGATTAATAACTTATAAATAGAATGTAACAGAACTACTAGAAATGAAGGATTCTCTCAGTGAAATATAAAACAGAACAGAAAGTTTGAGCAGCAGGCTAGAGCAAGCAGAAGAAAGAATCTCAGAACTCAAGGATGTTCTTTTTGAAAAAACCAAGGCAGATAAGAAAAAGAAAAAAAAGAATAAAAAAAATGAAGAAAATTTAAGAGAGCTAGCAGACAACCTTAGATGTACAAACATCCAAATCATGAGTATTCCAGAAGGGGAGAAAAAAGGAAAATGCATTCAAAACTTATTCAAGGAAGTAATAACAGAAAACTTCCCAGGTACAGGGAGGGATACAGATCTTCAGATCCAGGAAGCCCAAAGATCCTCAAACATATTCAATCCAAAAAGATACTCTCTAAGGCACATGATGTCAAACTGGCAAAACTCAAAGACAAAGAGAGAATTCTAAAAGTAGCAAGAAAAAAGTGTCAAGTCACCTATAAGGGAGCTCTCATCATGTTAACAGCAGACTTCTCAACTGAAACCTCAAAGGCCAGAAGAAAATGGGTTGATATATTCAAAACACTAAAAGAAAACAATTGCCAGCCAAGAATATACCCAGCATGGTTATCCTTCAGAGATGAGGGAGAAATAGTGTATTTCTCTGACATACAAAAATTATGGGAGTTCACTACCACACGCCCAGCCCTGCAGGAAATTCTCAAAGGAGTCCTGCATCTGCAATCTGAAAAACAATAATCAATATCATGTATTCACAAGAAAAAGCAAAACCTGCCCTTAAAACCAAAATGCAAACAAGAAGGAGAAAGAAACTAAATCATGTCACCTCAAAAATACAACTAGCATTGAAGATGAAAAATAAAAGGGGAAGAAAGGGACAAATGATGTTTAGAACATCTAAACAAAAAGCAATATAAATGACAGGAGTAAAGCAATACTTATCAATAACAACCCTAAATGACTGATTGGATTAAAAAGCTAGATCCAACTATATGCTGTCTTCAAGATACCCATCTCACCTATAAAGATAAACACAGACTAAAACTGAAGGGATGGACAAAGATATACCATGCAAATGGAAAACAAAAATGAGCAGGGGTAGCTATTTTTACATCAGATAAAATAGACATCAAACCAAAAACCTTAAAGAGATAAAGAAGGCCACTATGTAATAATAAAGGGATCTATCCATTTAGAAGACATAACAATCATAAATATGTATGCACCCAACAGTGGAGCACCTAGATATGTAAAGCAAATACTCTTACACCTAAACATATAGACCCAAATACAGTAAGAGTGGGTGACCTGAACACCCCTCCATCAGCTTTAGACAGATCTTTCAGGTAACAAATCAAAAAAGAAACACAAGATTTAAACTACACCTTATACCAATTAGACCTGGCAGACATCTACAGAGCATTTCATTCAAAAACTAGAAAGTATACTTTCTTGTCATCAGCACATGGAACATTCTCCAGGACAGACCACACAGTAGGTCACAAATCAAGTCTTAGCAAATTGAAAAAAACTGAAATCATCCCAAGTATCTTTTCACACCACAATGGATTAAAACTGGAAATCAATAACAAGAAAATTCTGGAGACTATTCAAGTGCACGGAAACTGAACAACAGATTCCTGAATGACCTATGGGTCCAAGAAGAAATTAAACAGGAAATCAAAAAATTTCTTGAAACTAATGATAATAAAGATACATCATATCAAAACCTGTGGGATACTGCAAAAGCAGTACTAAAAGGGAAGTTTATTGCAATAAACACGTTAGAAGAATGGAAAGTTTTCTGATAAATGACCTAATACTACACCTCAAAGAACTAGAAAAACAGCAACAAACAAACCCAAAAGCAGTAGACCAAAAGAAATAATCAAGATCTGGGCAGAACTAAATGAAATAGAGACCCAAAAAACAAGACAATGAAACAAAAAGTTGTTTTTTTTTTTTTTGAGAAGGTAAATAAAATAGATAAACCTTTAGCTAGGTTAACTAATGAGAGAGAGAGAGAGAAGACCCAAGTAACAAAACTCAGAAATGAAAAGGGAGACATTACAACCAATACCACAAAAATGCAAAGAATCATTACAGATTATTATAAACAACTATACACCAAGAAATATGAAGACCTGGAGGAAATGGATAAATTTCTGGACACATATAAACTTCCAAGACTGAACCAAGAAGAAATGTAAAACTTGAACAGACCAATAACAAGTAATGAGGTTGAAGCAGTAATCAGAAATCTTACAATAAAAAAGCCCAGGATGGATGGCTTTACAGCTGAATTCTATCAAACATTTAAAGAAGAATCAATACCACTTCTCTTCAAACTTTTCCAAAAAACTGAAATGGAAGCCATTCTCTCAACCTCATTGTATGAGCAGCATCATCCTGATACAAAAACCAGGCAAAGATACAACAAATAAAAGAAAACCACAGGCCAGTATCCTTGATGAATACTGATACAAAAATCCTCAACAAAATACTAGCAATCAGAGGTTGGTTCAACATATGAAAGTCAATAAATATGATACATCACATCAACAAAACGAAGGACAAAAGCAGTATGATTATCTCAATTGGTGCAGAGAAGGCATTTGTCAAAATTTGACATCCCTTCATGATTAAGATTCTCAGCAAATTAGGTATAGAAGAAAATTATCTCAATGCAATAAAAGCAATTTATGACAAACCAATTGCCAATATCATCCTGCATGGATGAGAAGAACAGGAACCAGACAAGGATGCCCACTCTCACCACTATTATTTAACATAGTATTGGAAGGACCAGCTAGAGCAATTAGGCAAGAGAAAGAAATAAAGGGCATCAAGGAGAGGATGAAGCCAAACTCTCCATGTTTTCTGATGATATAATCTTATATATAGAAAAATCTATAGAGTCTACCAAAAAACTCTTACAGCTGATTAACAATTTCAGTAATGTTGCATGATACAAAATCAGCACTCAAAAATCAATAGCGTTTTTATACTACAATAACAAACTAGCAGAAAACGAATTCAAAAAAGCAAGCTCATTTACAATAGTCGCCAAAAAAATAAAATACATAGGTATCAATTTAACCAAGGAGGTGAACGATCTCTTTAATGAGAACTACAAAACACTACTGAAAGAAATTAAAGAGAACACAAAAAGGTGGAAAGACATACCATACTCTTGGATGGGAAGAATTAACATCATGAAAATGTCCATTCTGCCCAGAGCAATCTACAAATTCAATGCAATCCCTATCAAAATACTAATGACAGTCTTCACAGACATAGAAAAAGTAATCCTAATATTCATATGGAACAATAAACGACCTCCAATAGCCAAAGCAATCCTGGGCAAAATTATTAAAAAAAATATAGCCAGATGCATAGCACTATCTGAATTCAAATTATACTGCAAAGCTATTGTAAGCATAACAGCTTGATACTGACATAAAAACAGACACTTGGACCAATGGAACAGAATAGAAGACCCAGAAATCAGCCAACTGATCTTTGACAAAGGCAACAAGAACCTACATTGGGGAAAAGACTGCCTCTTCAATAAATGGTGCTGGGAAAATTGGACATATATATGCAGAAGAATGAAAGTATACCTGTACCTCTCAT